CCACTATCAGAAAAATCCAGGCATTAGTTGAAATCTGTGCTTAATTGCTACATTAATTAGCCTGCTGTTATCCGCGCAGGATGCAGTACTGGTTAATTTTGACTTTGAAATCGGAACCCTACCGACGATGCCCTGAAAAAGGTATTTTGAAGCACTAGCTAAAACGAACACGACCATATTAAATAGCTATTGCAAAAACCGCTTCGCTTCTGTCAAAACAATGAAGAGATCTACGAGGCAATCGTTTTAACTAAATAGTTTAGCTTCCAGGAAGAAGGTGAGAAAATTGTGTGCGTTGCGTTGCCGAACGTTGTACATGTGAACATGTGTGCAGGCCAAAACTGCTTTTGTGTTTGCGAGTAAAAATATGAATCAATACACCCACGGTATTTTTGCCTTTGTCAATTTTGAGAAAAGTCCTAAGTGTTGTTCAGATCATACTTGCTTCCTTCAGGAGTTACATCCCCTTTTGGAACCAATAATTCGTTACATGTTATGATATGTGGTATCCTTTCTGTGCCGAAGGTATCGCTTCTGTGCCTGGAGGTATGCAAGGGTACCTCATTGGTTATGTTAACAGCCTGCTCAACTCTGTTTGGAGTGGCGTCGGTTGGGTGGTTTTGTTAGCATTGTGAACCACTACGACTTATCAGATGTGTAAAACTCCTGGCTAGATCTTTTCTTGCTAGGTCATTGGAACTCCAAAAGGATAGACTACAACGTTTATGGCAAGAAATAGGTTGGCCGCAATTTCACCTACCCCTATATGGCTAGGTCCTTGCCTGTACTATTTATTACAGTACTCCTTACATGGGGCGCCTTCCAGATATACAAAAATGTCTGTTTGATTGTCTTCTTCTTGAGATGAGGCTAGCGAGCATATACCACAATCAGCTCACACTGGTCAGTTTTACTTTCTTTATTTTAGGCTTAGACGGTTGGCGCTGGACCAGGTCCGGTGCTGCAGGCAAGAAAAAAGGGGGGACTAATATAGGCAGGGGACATTTAGATGCCTTTTGCAAGTCATCGGCCGGCTTAAACATAATGTTATAAAAAAGGCGCCGGAATCAATCGTTTGTATCACCGGGATATCATCCTTATACGTCACTTCTTTTGAGATTTCACGTTACACCAACCATATAAGAGTTGCCGAATATCGCCTACTAAAACATCGTCAAGGTGGTTGTGAGGATAACCTGGTGATATTTGGTTAACTTCACGGTCAATAATGCTACCATCCTTGGGATGACATTTTCGGGAAGTTACTCATGAGAATTCATGTAGCTACGTTTACAAGGTAGTCCGGTGAGCACACTCGTGATTCGTGAGGCTGCCACCACTGTGACATGTGCGTCTGCGTATGTGTATGTCCGCATTTCTAAATGGTGGACTTTCGATTGAGAAAATTGAGCCCCTCCGAACAGCTCACGCTTTGTGAAGCATGGCAATGTGTTGCATCAAAAATCTTATTACACCTACATGGGTAGCTTTTCTCAAGAAAGTCCTATAAAGTATGATCTAAACCGGAATCTGTCTGGACGCATTCCTAATATGGGAGTTTCGAGCGCCCCGACTTTGAACTTCATTCTCAAACTGACCTTATATAAGTTGTCTTTGGAAGCAAATTCTGACCATCTGTTATGCATGGTGCTTCACGCAACTCCAACGGTGTCCGCTTTATAAGTGATTATATATATATATATATATATATAGTTACACTGATAGATAGATACCCCTTCTTTGCCCTTTACCCACTGTGATCCCGTGAGGGGCCACCAGCTACAGTGGGCTCATTTCGAACTAAGAGTGATAACAGATAATAGGTAGATGGAAGAACAACAGCCGTACAACAAGTCGAGAAGACTTGGAAGGTTTCTGGCTATTTAATGATTAAACCAAATAGCTCATTATAATTATATAATTATTCGTTACTTTTAGAAATTATACAACTTGGTCTATCCTTTTATCCAGGATTTTAGGGAAATCCTCATGTTTCGATCATCGCAATGACGAGGGAGGCGACAGAGTTGCACAATGGCTATGAAATTCCCAATTTGTTTTGTAAGCTGGTCCATCAAGCGAAAAATTTTTAGATGGCACTTATAAGGTATTAGATGAAATACTTCCATGCTTGGATGCAGCCCTAGGGTCAGGGTATCGGGGAATTGGTAAGTCTTGAAATTTTTTCAAAGCTTATGAATCATCAAATCTTCTAGATACGGCGGCCTACTTTCACAATGAACGGTGCATTGGGGAATCATTGAATGTTTTGCTTCCAAAATATGAACTCGCACGGGATAACGTGTTTATTACTACAAAGCTTCGTGAGTAAACCACCATCGGGATTTTTTCAGTGAAATAATAGGAATTTTGAGTTCTTTTCTCGTTGGTGCACTGAAGGGATATTGTGTCACCAATCTGCATCTAAATAAATGAGTAAAAGAAGGCTGGTAACAGTGCGAAATATAAGTTAGTTTGGGTACACCATATGGTTGTCGTCTCAGTTCTGTTAAAGGCCATTTTGAGCAAAGCTTCTCATGGCGTGTTTTTGACGCACAGTTGAATTTCACTGGGTCTGGCACTTTTGCAAAGAAGGTCAAAAACCAAGCTGAAGAAACAGCTATTTTGTACAACTGACAGATCTCTGGTGGCTTCCACTATACGGTATCGCACTATATTTATCTGTTTACCACGTATGACATGCTATACTGTTTTGTACCGTACTATGCGGTATTGTAGCATACTTTGCTGTAAATTTTCAGTGCTTGCATGAGCCAAAGTAAAACGTGTAATTTGGTCACTCATATTTGGAATATCTTTGTTTGAAACTAGTCTGAGAAAATGTAGAAAATGTGAGAAAACAGAGAGCGACTAGGGTGAGCCGGAAGTCCATAGAGGTATATGTACAGTACTTGATTGTTTCAATTTGGTCCGACCGCTACTGGCATTTAACCCTTGTGCTGCAAACCCATCTGGCAGCTGATTTGGGTAAAGACTTTTAATCGTTTTCCTGCCACTGCAAGTCAACTTACGAACTAAATGCGGGATAGAATGCTCACTCATACTGTGACTTATCTTGGAACAACCTCCCTGCGATGTCGGGATCAGGCGCATTTGAGCTGTTTGAACATACAGAAATGAACACGGTCAACTCATTTCATAGTGATAGTTGCTGTATTATATAAAAATAAATTGTCTGGTAATTTGGCTCCATTGTAGCATTTAGCCTATTTGTTAAGTGGGTCAACACTTGAAATATGTGACGCAGGGCTACTTGCTGATATTGAGTGGCGTCTGCGATGTACCAAAGTGCTTCGCAATCGCTCAAGCTAGAATAAGTTTTCCTACATAAAACAATGAAACCAAATGTCCATATACCGTTGTGTGCACTTGCCGTCATGAAGTTTGAGCCAGGCTACCTAGTGAACTTTCCGCTGAGCATTTTTCTTGATTGTTGGACCTTTCGCCCCCATGTTCAAGCCATATTATCACCTCTTCCATGGATATTTTTATATGTTTGTGATTATATTCTGTTCACTACTATGTTTCTCGTAGTTAAGTTGGTTAACCTTTCTGGCAAACTCACTGCTTTACTGGTTGGATAACAAAGTTTAACGATTTCTTATCCTCCAGCCAGTCACTTACGGTAAGATGCAAAAGGATAAACTATATGAGTAAAATGTGACACCTTTTAATTTTTAGAACCGATCGAGTATTCTGAAGTGCATGTGATAGTTCGCTCCTCCATTTTTCCCTCACCATCACAGCTCCAAAGTCATACGGAGCCGCGGCGGCGTTATCTTCCTTGAAGATGTCCCTAGAGGCGCTTCAGCTTTCCTACATTGATATGTATATGATACACTGGCCTGGATTACAAGGTGTTCTTCCTCCTGGAAGGATCAAAGATTCCAGGGGTTACATGAGCGACTTAAGGAGGTTAAGTTGGCAAGCTCTGGAAACGGTGGTCATACTGGAACGTCCAAAGACGAAAGTGAAGTCAGATGCTCCGACGAAGTCTGACGTGGAAACATCAGAAACAGTGATTCAAGGCAGTGGACCATATCGTTTAGTGCGTTCGCTTGGTGTATGCAACTACTTACCTAGACACATTGAAGAACTTGCCAGTTATGCAACGATCACCCCGTGTGTTGTACAAGTAGGTCGATTGCCTTTGATTATTCTTCGACGTTTATCTCCGAACGAATGGCACTTGTTCGGCCTAATGAAACGGAACGGACGGAAGCGACCTTGGTCTTACTTAATTTTGATTGTCGATATGAATAAAATAGGTCCGCTGATTGTAGATTCGAATTAGCAAGAAGCCCTCAAATAGAAGATTATTCAAGCTATGTTATATGTTGTTAATCGCATTACCGATTTGACCCGTGTGTTAAGTAGGTCGATTGCCTTTGATTATTCTTCGACGTTTATCTCCGAACGAATGGCACTTGTTCGGCCTAATGAAACGGAACGGACGGAAGCGACCTTGGTCTTACTTAATTTTGATTGTCGATATGAATAAAATAGGTCCGCTGATTGTAGATTCGAATTAGCAAGAAGCCCTCAAATAGAAGATTATTCAAGCTATGTTATATGTTGTTAATCGCATTACCGATTTGATTTGGATACTCTAAGGAGCTACTGTTACCACAATAAAGCAACAGGTCACAGCTGTGCAGTCAAATTTCAACCCCATAGTTTTGCAGTTATCAGGTCTGTTGTGTGGGTAAGCGAATAAATGCTAGGCCAATCAACAATTATGGTGAATCAAGTCACTGTTGGGTTACTGACGCCATCCAAACTAAACCCATTAACCGCATCGTTGCACGGCCTTAACATGAGTAATACGTAGCCGCTGGTCGACCGATTTTACCATGCCTAGCAAACTCGGCTTAATTAGACTTGATTTATTAGGAAAACAACCATTAAGTGACTAGCATCATTTAGCCTCTCCCAAGCACAAGAATGGTGTGTAGAAAACTGTCAATTTATTGCCCCCATTCTGTTGTTATCTTTAGTCTATTTTATTAGTGAACAGCAAATAATCTCCCTGCCGAATAAAGAACAGCTTTCAGACTGTTGCCTTACGTAACACATTGGTAACCTGATTAGATCAATTGCAAGGCTGTTGGTGAAGCAGCCTCTGAGCATGTGATCAAAGAATTCCCGGTAGGTCAGAATTCAGTCATTTCGACTAGCAGCTTGCTCTGTTTTGATCAGGACGCGCCTAGAAAAAAGGTAGATAAAAGACCTAGGCAATTACGTAAGAACCCAGATAAACGGAATACTGGGAAAAAAAATTTGCCAACCAACCAGTGCCTGGCTGCAGACCATCCGACGGAGACAGTGACGAAATCCGTCCAGCGTCGCCAAATAGCAACACTTTTCTTTTTTGACCATGTTTCCCTCCGATTTCTAGCAACGTTTTTTAAGAAAATTAGCAATGTCTGTGTGGCATGCCACCTAACAGTAATACATCTCCATCTACATTGAGGTCCTCGTTTTTCACCTAAGTTTTCACTGGACATCTATCTACCACGCCGATATGAGGTGGAGTAGTGCTTAATTTAGTCTCTTCGTGCACTTGCCCCAGCTTACAGTCGATCTTATTAAACCAAAGTACCATATCATATAAGACCACCAATTTTCATCTTGATATTTCGGGAGACACTGGTCGCAAGTGAGAAACATGTTAGAAACATTCAATCCGGTCCTCCAAATGTCTAGAGTGAAAACGCTCCCAAATGGTTGTCGAAAAAGATGAGGTTTCGGCCCCAAACTGGGCAAAACCAAGAGATCAGCAATTTGTAAGTTATGTCAGCTATTGAAAAAAACTTTCCACTGATTTTGAACTTTTAGGCTTATGTGGTGGTTTCACGTGTTTGCTGTATATCGCACCCTGAACAAGCACACCTGACCTGTGTTACAGAAATCAACAGAAGTGAAGATGATACTATCGCCAAAATGTCCGTATTCCCATACTTTACCAAAACCACTGTTTTGATTTATCCTGTTCCCTCTTGTTTATAGTACGAGTTCCATCCATTTTTGAGCGTGAAGGCTCAGGAGCACCCAATGCGTCGCATCTGTACACGCTTGTTTCCTATGCAGTCGGTGCATTTTCAGTGTCACACGTCGTTGGCCAATGGATCGAGAGAACTTCTAACCAGTCCGATAATTACAGAAGCGGCCAGTGAGCTTCAACGAACACCAGCACAAGTGGTTCTGCGATGGGCTTTGGAAAAGGGTCACAGTAAGTGGTTCGATTTTCATCAGGTTCCGGAATCCCGTTTCTTTTAAAACTTGTTTGGAAAAATTTTCAACCATTATGCGATGAAGAGATGTGCTAGTTGGTTCTGTAATCTATCTCAGGGTCACCAGACTTTCTTCACTCGTGAGTGGTTATGCCAATTTGAAGCATTTTAGCGGTATTAACACATGGGGATAGAAAAGTGCTTCGGAGTTAGTAATGTGTTGAAATATTGGTAGCTCTGGTGAGTTTATTGCAAGCCGATTGCCAAGCTCGGCAAAGTGAGTTTATGCAAGCCGATTGTCAAACCCCGCAAACATATAGACAGAAACCTGATCAACAACAAATGAAGTTCGGAGTTATGTGTTTCACAAGCAATAACTCGCATTTATTTAAGGCTGTTTAAAAGTTCATTGCCACGACCTAGCACATATTAGCAGCAGTGGTGGCGATTATATGACGTCTGGATGCAGAATCGAGTTGCTAGTTCTAGCCTTAGTTTTCCCTAAGAAGTGCTTGTCATTTAAAACGGCTTGATCATGAAACATGAAATCTTGAAACATTTTGTTCACATATGCATATAGTTTCGAGTGCTGCCACTGAGTGAAAGAGCTCGGAGTAGCTCAGTAATTAAGATACGAAATTGCTGGACGGTTTGTGGTTCGAATCCAACCTCAACGTCTCTACTGCTCCTGTGTAGACGTGGGCAACCTGGCAGTATTTCGGTCGTCGTGCTTCCTTTGGGTGGCGCGGTGGGTTAGGTATTACAGCCGAAAGACTTGGGACAAGGCAAATTCCCAAAACTGAATAGTGTCTCCGTCCAACAAACGCTGGAAAAGGTAGCAAATTTTTCTCTCCCATTAGCCCTTTTGTACCGGGTCGATGCGACTCTGAATTAAGTAATCTCGCTTGAAGTTTGGTAGCAAGAGGATTCTCAAATGGGTAACTGTCCTGCTTTTTCTTGAACAGGTCTACAACCTACTTCCAAAACACGTCGTATGCTCACATTCGCATAGTAATTTGTCCCCAACATGTTACTTAGCTGAATCAAGCCGAATATCTAATTTGTAATGCTCTTCTTGGTTGTTGGTGTCCCTTGAATGATTTTTGCGAAAAAGTATATTCAAATCATCACCAAACCCAAGCGATCGCTTTTAAGACAATGTCGGCTTACCTTGGAATCTGTTTTTGGCGTCAAAAGTCGCTATTCAGATTTTGCCCTGAAGCTTTAAGGTCCGCTAGTCTTGTTTCCTCACCATGAATCCGGTACAATCGTCCGAGTGAATACGCCATTTGTGGAAACTGAAATATCTCCAAGCGCGTTGCGTCCTTTCTTCTTTCAGAACTTAATGGCTGTCATTGTACTTGCTCTGAATTGATTTGACGCAAAGATGCCAGTAATAAGCTTGATAAGTACCAAGCAGCGGCTTTTAAACAGTAAACCTCTACCATGTTACATTCGTATTAAGTCCACTGAGAAGTTTATCTCATGCTGCCGTTCCCCCCCCCCCCCCAAAAACTTTAATATAATTAAGGACTTGATGAGCAGTACACCAACTCTTGAGGTGCTGAAAATTCTTCGATAGCCTACGTGCGGAGACTCCTCAGGCAGGCACACTCCCCGAGGTTCCGTCAAATTAATGTTCTACTTGAAACCAAATTGAACGAAAATAACGAAATACACTCATTTGAAAACTAATTTGGTTTTGCGAAAGACTCACCAGGAACCGAGCCGAAACTCTCGTTTATGATGGAAACTTCATAAATGGGAGATTCAGCTAGGTTCCAAGTGAGTCACTTGCGAAACCAAATTTGTTTGCAAATGATTGTATTTCGTCAAGTGTTGAAGATGTTTTTCCTGCCAATGGACACAAGACTAAGCGTCCCTGAAAAAATTATTGTTTTGTTTCTTCCATAATGTAGATATCGCCAGGTAGGTAGTTCAGGTGAGTGAACCGCAGTTGTACTTTCTGAAACGTACTGTACCGGCCGCTTTAGCAGCTCAACTACTTAGACCTTAGTCTGATGGATACATCTGGTGATTCCTTGTGTTGTGGTCGAATCCTGAACAGTTCATTTACACGAGCGCTGTCGTCTATGTTGAGCCTTAGCACATGGGCTGCCGGGGGTTGGTCACATGAACCTTTGATCGACAGTTTCAGACTTGCCATGCATCCGCCGACCATTTTTAGGGCTGGTGGACGTCATACAAACTAATGGCGTCCAGCTGATTCGTCCCAATAAAGGTGACAGCTCTCGTGTGACCGAACTTTTTGGACATCCAGCCACAACTTCGAGTTGAAATATTTAATGAAATTCAAAACCGTTGGCTCAGTAATTATAAGTTCATCCACGAGGATTGATTATCAGTCATACGAAAGTCTTTACATCAAACAGTGTTTGGACGATTGTCTCCGGTAATCAGTTACTCTGATGAAGATTGGGTTGACTTCATCAATCACAAGCTGGAGACTCCAGTCCTATCAACCATTTGATTCTTGCGATTAACATACATACTGTCTTCAGATGTGTCCCACCTAGTTCGAAGAACTCAGTTTCCGTCCCGCTCCCATGGGCGTCATACATACTAGTGCGTTTATGGTTCAGTCTAGAGTCTTCTGCAGCATATACGAATTCTCTCATCTGGAAACTACTATACACCTGGATGAGTTCGGTCTTTTACCTGTGCCGTGCTTAATCAAAAGAAACTTGATAGTAGAGAACTGTTTGATTCAAGTCGAAAATGCTTTCGCTCCCTATCTGAATGAAGCCAGTTTTCAGTGAATATTTAAAGCCGGACGAGGTGCCAGTACGTTTCGAGAATAATAGTTCCGAAAAAATGACGTCCCCAACCCATTTGCATTTTAAAGAGCCTAGTAAAACAAAGCTGTCATTCTACCTAGTCCCTTGAAATCAAATTTTGAGGCACACTCCGCTACAATAGTTATTGTTAGGTTTGAACATTCACCCCAGGTATTCTTTTTAGTACTCTTAACTGCATGAATGGGTGTTAGCTATGAATATCCGGAAGAAACCCTTATTAAGCCTCTTTGCCTGATAGATTTTCGGGGGTTCATTTTGTAAGGCAGAAAGTAGGACGTGTAAAATATTGGGTGTTATGTCCACCGATAAAAGGATGATCTTGCTCCTAAATATTAAGCCTGTTTTCTTGGCAACCTGATGGTTTTCAATGTCTGCTCGCGACTGATTGTCTTACAGGGTGTGTCAGTTAGACTCATTGGTAGCGGTAGAGCTAGCCCATAGTAATGAAAATTTTGATGACAGGCATAACTTCCAGAAAGTAGTGCCACGTTTATCGCCTGACGGAGCATACGGCAAATGTTTTGCCAAGTCAGGAGATATTTCCGTCAGGCTCCTTGCGTAACTCCAACCAGTCCCAGCTGTTAACCAAAGGTGTATGTCTGTTCGTTCTGGGTCCTCCAATAAGAAACAAAGTGACAGTCTGCGATCTGACTACCCCTCAACCAAATCTAAGCATATTGTTCGTTGCTTATCAGGTACTTCACAAGGATTTGTAACTAATCACATGAAAATTCCTGAGCATTCACCGTTTTTCGGATGATTGTCCGAATAAACCAACAGTATTTCTCATTTAACAGGCGAAGCAGTTAGAATCCGAGTGTTTGACACTCTATATATTTCCAAAACTTACACCCACCTCATCAAACGCTATCCCACACTTGCGAGAGCACCAACCCTTTGATCATACTCAAGTGAACTTGCAAATTCTGACGTGATTCTGATGAAACTTGTAAAAGTGTTGTCCTAGATAGATATTTGAATGCTTTTCCGATAGGGACGAATGTGAACACCAGACCATCAAGTCCGGTTCCAAAGTCTCAAGGCAAGGCGGCTTTGGTTGTCACGGTGGCCTATCGACTCATCTAAGCATACGAATGCATATTGCTGAATACTGGATGTAAATGGACAATCATCTGGCCTATGCTCCGCAAATACAGCTCTATACAATATAAACATATTCTGGAGCTCCTGAAACAGGCACAAAAACTCTTGGAGCAGCCATTCCAAAGGAGAAACCTGGTAAAAGTGAGGATAGCTTTTTATGAGAAGACGATTTTCATTTTGGGGATGTTGTGCCGGTACCCACTTTGCTCCAATGGTGTGGTGCTACAGCAGTGCATCGCCCTCCCTGACTTTAAGGTGTCTAAAAATTTTACTCCAAATTCGTGAGCTTATCTTCGGTCCCGTGTATAATGCTACTTTATCCTACTTTCACCATCATCCCGGTATCTTTACTACAGGTGTTATTGCCAAGTCTTCAAAACCGAGACACATTGTCGAAAATTCGCGCATCTTCGGATGGGATTTGGATTCCAATACCGTACAAAAGATTGATGCCATGGAAAGGAACGAACGGTACTGTTGGGATCCACACGCAATACTTTGATCAGACTGGAAATAGGGCATTCATCAGATTCCAATTTTGTGATTTTTCGTCGATGTAGGAAACAGTTGAGTTTTGAAGTGTTAAACAAGCTTTTGGATTCATCCTGTTTATTTTTTTTGGCGCCAATCGGCGTGTCTGAAATGCAACAGCATCTACAATACAAAAATGTGCTAGCCCTGTGTTGTAACCCGAAAAATAGGATGATTCATTTTAAATATCGCAAGACCCATTCGCTTGGTTCTGTGCAATTTCGAGAAAGCACTATACCGCGTATAGTCCAATACAATAAATCATTGTTATCAATTGCTGGAGAACTTGGAGACTTTGTTTGTAAATGGCGGTAAAATGACTGAAAACAGATCAGTCAATACATATGAGGAGGGATTTCGTAGGAAATAGATACACAATCCCGTTTGGACGTGGGCAACCCCAGCGGTCGCAGCGGGACGTCGTTTTTTGCGTACTGAAACATGTCGATATCCCACAAAGAACCCTTTGAACTCAAGGAAGCATATAAGTGCATCGACACTAGGTGTTATCCACTACTGAACTATGCAGTTGACTAGATGAAATTTCTTTTTCGCCCAGCGCCGGCGTAGTCAAACACTGCGGCGACTTATACGAGTAGCCAGATGTTGAATAAGAATGTTTCTAACACAAACAAATGCGTTATGAAGAACCAAATGACACATACAAAAACTTTAATGTGTCTTGTTGACTTCGGGTCGAGATTGTTTGATACAAGCGTACTCGTGGAGTTGGCGATATGGTAGGAATAATGATGTTCGGGGATTTAGCGAGTAAAAGTGCGAATAATATACGCTTTGTTTACGACGACAATAATATATTTAATGTGATCTACCGAGTAATTAGGAGAGACTCTACGGAGACTGAGTACCCGCTTGATCATGAAGATAGTCGTGATAACCTGGAGGAACAATTTTACGCGCTTTTTACCCACAAACTTTGTTAAAGTTAAAACATAGTGAACAATGCTCTGTCCATTTGGAAAAGGTTATCAGTTTTGTTTCTCTGTCTCGGGTGGTTAGGCAGGATTGATTGAATGGGCTTGAGTTTGGACCGAAACACACAGGTTTGAGTTTTTGAGCGGTCTCACCAACGGTAATGTGTGCTTCAGCTTTATGACAAATACTGAGCGTGAAGGGAGATAAACAAAAAGAAAGGACTGGATTTATCCTACTTGAGTAACCTCCATGGTATTTGGTAAATCAAGGTGACATGTGATCAATGAAACGTAGTTGTTGAGCCGTAGTAATGTTCCAAGCCCAAACATACGTTCATCTGTACTAATGTTCTTAGTGCGGCATTGTTTTTTAACTAACCAGATATTGTAATTACAGAAGTATGAAGAGATGAAGGTCATTTAGAGGAACAGAGATGGACAGTGTTATCAGTTGTGGCCTGGAAACGCACAAATTCCATCTATCGTAAACAACACCTATCGTAACCGTAAACAGCTGAAAAATGGCTGGTCTGCATGAGGTGAATGTCTACTGTCCAGCAACTACTCTCCCGTACATGCTACGACATCTTTGGAGTGTTCACCAACTTCAAAGTCGTAATATGGAGAAGGCACAATGCTTGGAGTGCTATTCCCTGCAATCAACACTGCAACACCTGAGGGACTGACATTTTTGTCATATTCTCCCTCTGGATGATGGTGTTGACTTCTTTTTCCTGAAAAATATCGACGTTCCTAGTGCAGACAACATCATACAGAGAACTTACAGATGTCTCTGAGAGTCTATGGCTTTCAACATGTCAGGCGGAGATACGACAAACTGCTGTGGTTGTATACTACAAGTCTGAAACTCACTATCCGTGATGGCCGTCCGGGCAAGCCAGAGGCGGCCAGTTCATTCCTTGTTTCAGTATTTGCTCGTTAATTCACGTCACGTGTAAACGCAATCTCGATCAAGTAAAATCTCCCAATATTTTGGATCCGCTTCATAGTTGCAACATCCTAGATGAATAGGGAACCATTTCACGGATTTCAGTGTTTGTTGGCATAGATTTGTATGTGACTAAAGAAGCCCCAGCCCAAATAAAATGTCAGTATAGTACTAATACTTTTTGGAAAAACGAAACCTCATTGTGTAAGCTGGTCAGCATTGCTGAATTACGACGACGTAAAGAAGAGAAAAGCAATAATGCTGCATACAAAAACATTCTCTTCTCTCTGGTAATGGTCCAAAACGTGTTCGTGGGATGGAATATCAGTGGCTAATACCAGAGCAACAAAGAAAAATCACTTCCATAATATCCGTTAGTCAATCTTGCGTTACAGAGACTCAGGTGGATTTCATCGAATACTGGTATACAAAATTCATTTGGGTCAAGAGGATCCATAGTTTCGTTGCCACTCTTGGTACCGTCCAGACAGATGTCGCGCCGAAGGCATCGTTGATTCGATGGCAGCCTTCACATCCTCGGTTGTCACAGGATCAAGCCGAATGTGTGTTTCCGGAGTGACTGCAATAGTGAAATCAAACCTTCAATAAGAACGTTTGATATTCAATATAATGATTCAAACAACTTAAGGAATAGAAGTTGAAATTGGAATGTCGCTTGAATGCAGACACCAACATTAGATAGGTGACATTGACTAAAGAGTTCAAAAGACTTGCGAATCAAAGTCTGGTGTCAAAATGGGTAAAGCCGTGTAAAAATTACCGCTGAATGAATGGATAGGACAAGTTGTTTACCACAAGCTATATGAAAAGCCTAATCCAGGCATGTCAAAATACGTCAACACTTGATGATGTCCTCAGTTCAACTCAAATTTTTGAATAAGGTTCGATCCTTGGAAAACTAGTCATTGGTGTTTTAGCCGAAGAAATTGGTCATACCCACTAAGTATCATCCCAGGTTTCGTTAGGAGGCCGTATCCTTCATTGTGGTTCTTGTGTTCACTGCAATGCTATAATAAACTGACTGACTGTTCTGAAAAGAACTGTCATAGCTCCGCCGATCGTATTCTTGATTTACGGGAACTGAGAGGAGTGGGCTAGACGGCAAATTCAGCTCCGTGAAAAAAGTTTACGTTGTCATATCTATGAGGAGCTATCCAGTTTTGACGGCCAAATCCGTTCGGATACTGTTTGCCTAGTATTCTCATCTTCGTGAGATTAATTTGGAGAACTCTGCCCCCTTTGGAGAGTACAAAGGAACAAATGTCACCCATAATATCTTTTCTATGAGAAAGAATGACACGCCAAGGTTTATTATGATGGCTGGTGATGATAGAGTTCCCCTTGTGGCGTCGTTGATTGTACACGATGAACGATGGGGCTTGAGCAATCCAAGCTGTTAGAACTCGTGAACATGGCTTGACATGGACTCAAACCCAAACACACTCAGAAACTCACATTCTTTTGTAGGATTCTCGAGAATATCAAAGATTTTGCGTACTACGCGCATTGCGGCTTCCTTGCAAACCAGGCGAATATCTGAACCAGAGTAGCCTTCTGTAAGCTTAAAGGAGAGCAAAGGTTCACGTTCGAATTAACATTGCTGTAAATAGAGCATGTGAGAAAAAAACGACACTGACAGCTTGAATTCAGACTTCAATACCATGTGGAATGAGAGTCTGCTATGTTGCCAGTCTGTCCTCAGAACATTTCCATGTAATCGTTCCAGGTGTTTATACTTGTTATGACCTGGTAAGCATTCTGCTGCGCGATCAAATTACAGGTTGGTAAATGCCGTTGAGAACGCTGTTGCGAAACAGTCACGAGATAACCCCACAACTCTGAATCTATGAAAAGCCACAGAGACACTATTTAAAACAACTGCGCAAAAACATCTTCCAAGAACAAGATAACTGCTCAAAGACAGTCTGGTACTTTTAAGTTTCCACCCACTGATACATGGTGAACATTCAAAAACAGCAAACAACACTCTCGCGATGAATCTTTTGTTTGCTGGCCCATTGGCAGTATCAGTTAATAACTTTCTCAAACAATCTCAGGGTTTTTCTATTTTGATTGCTGTCGAAGAATCAGTGAATGCGGTTTTAACTTACCTTGGAAACGAGTTCGTAGTCAATGTTGCATTTAATCTGAAGTCCAGTAGATGGCGTAGACGCAGATGATGAGGGGAGAAAAGTTTCAAACATTCGTTGTCGTGCTTCTGTGTTTGGTAGATCAACCAGAATGCGCTTTTCTAGTCTTCGGAGCATTGCATGGTCCAGTTCCCTAGGGACAGACATAATATAGGTATAAATGATGCGTGTAGACGTCATGTATTAGGGTTAAAATCAGCTCAGGTCGATGGCAAGCGTATCTAAGGGTGATCACATGATATTGCTAAGTTAACCATAGAAGGACGAAGGGCACGATCAATTTTTTGAGAGAATGATCACGACTTCAAGCAAATCAGCGTGCGATCTACTGTTTAGAAATTGCATATCAAATCCAATGTGCGTAATGTCTGCTTGATAAATTCCCACCAGGTCGGACAAAATTGGATCATAAAACCTAGGATTGCGTATTTCATGAAGGTAGCGAAGAGGAATGCGCTCTAGTTCCGAATTTAATCCTAAATGTGAGGTCAACTTTTGTCGAAGTCCAGGATGCAACTGTAACTAAATCTACAACCTCCCCAGTAGACCTCCACTGAAGAAAATAGTCAAAAAATGCCGCACAGCATGAACTCCGCCACTGATATTCATAAAGCTCATCAGACACTTAGTTGATTGAGGACATCGCCAGACATGGTCCAGTCACGCGCTCAGTGTAGTGCACCCAAGATTTTGCCTTCAATGCGAAGCTCCCCTAATGAAGGATTTACTACCACTTCTGAATTAACGCACCAATCATATGGCTTACTGCATTTAATGCGTAACTTACCACGGCTGTCCTCCAGATAATTGGCGAAAGAAACGGTGACAGCTACAACCACTGTGCAAATTATGCGCAGTCAGTTATAGTTCAAGATAATGATGACTCTTAGTTGGGCATTTATGCTTTTGGAAATCCATCCCAAAATTGTTTGTTTAGATCTTACCATGAACAGCTCCTAGCGACTACTTAACAGCTATAAGCTACCTCAACTTCTTACAAGGAGAAATAGAACTACCACGCTACCGAAAAAATAAGACCGCAGCTACCAAAGCTTGTTATAAAGTCGAAAATTTTCACCGAATCAGCTTTTATGGATGGGCTAATCTGAGGAAATAAACATCATCGTAGCTACCCTTCATCAGCTCCAGAACTCTTTCTTAGTTGTGACATTCTGCTGCACCCTGAAGCATAAATTTGGAAACCCAACTGGTTTTACCCAATGATTTTAACAAAACGTAATCCGGAAAAGGACACGACCAAATTGGTGACTCACCAGGGCAAATTGGAAGCGGCTAACAGGAAAACCAAATCATCCGACTTTGTAAGTCCATCCATCTGCATCAGTAGCTCCGTCTTCATCCTTCTAGAGCCCTCGTGCTCGCCTCCGCCGGTAGAACCGTAGCTACCACCACCACCTCCAGGAGCAGTGCCACCGACAGAACCCCGCTGTGACATAAGTGAGTCCAGCTCGTCCAAAAAGATCGTGGAAGGGGCGTGGAATCGGGCCAACTCAAACAGTACCTGTGTCAAGGAAGGAATGGACTGGCTTTCCGAATCAGCTATACATGCTTATCAATTTAAATTTATCTTGATTTGAGATTTCAAACTGATTACACGACCCGACTGCCCAGGAAGTTTTGAGTAAGTCGACTGATATCTCCTTGCACAGTCCCGGCAACTAGATGATGAGGATGTAACCTGAAGGTCACACAGTTGGTGCTGGAAATATTTGAGCAACCAGCTAAACTTCCACCATAGGGCATGACCAACCGCCGATACAAGTTGTTTAAGGTTGTGTAAGAATTTCGCACATTTTTGCGCACTAATTCATCCAGGCTGTTCCACTTTATTCCGCACGCAGCGTTTATTGTGCTTTATTCGATAAGTTCTCCTTTCTTTGGAGGGAATTGCAATTTTTAGAGAACTCAATGAAAGAAACTCATGGGCAGGACCGTTCTCACTAGCCGCCTTTCTGATGAGTCAAGCGTAGTCTAGTGTTACGACGAATCACAAATTTGCGTCGAAAGATTTATCGGTTTGATAATTTCTTTATCGTAATCAATTACTCATTTTCGTTAGGGCCAAAATCTGCTCAGACAATATAAGTACCCCTCAGGAACGTCATCGGAATAGGGTGTTCAGGTGCCGCCTCATTAGAGATGAAGTTGTTCTGTGTCACCTTTGATCGTACTGAGCCATGTATTTGCCATTTCCCAATGCCATTCCACAAAACATGTAGTGTCCATGGCTTGGTTGGAAATTACGGCATCGTTCCTCCGCAACGGATACCTAAGCAACTGTTAACCTCGTCGACAAGTGAGCTGCACCAGAGCTGTTGGATAGCGATAAAGTTTCAAAATACCTATGTTGGACAACTTCATCATATAGAGACCTTCCACCATTCGTTATGGCTCCGGTAGTCAAAAAGCTCTAACTTCAAGAAATCCTTTTAAGGTGAAGGCTATATGTTGCAGACATTAATTGAGATCGGACTGACAGTTGTTTTGGAGACTCAGATTTCCGTTCGCAAAACACTGACAATCTTTCTCGCATGGCAGTTTTCATCTGCTCAGATATATGCTGGGCGCTGTCATTGAACGAAGTCTCCAGACGTGGATTAACAAAGTACATAGTCTTCCAGGACATCCGCATCTTGGTGGGATCAGATTTGTCCGTTTTTAACACATTTGACATTATGAAATCTCTGGATGCTGATGATGCTGTTCGCCCTCCCGAATGAGGTCCACATGCTTTGCTGGCGACAGTGAACTTTATGGCGGTTAACCGATTTGAATAGCACTCAGTTTCTGCCCAGATTATCTGAATGCGTTGGAAGCATATGCACCTCGAATATTTGTGGTAGGCTTTCCCCAGTTCCTCCTTCCTGTCCATTTTCCCCCTTTAACATGAGGCTTCAAGATAGATAAATTGACATGAATGTATCGCAGTAAAACTCCAATGTTCTCATCTGATGTTGCTATCAGTGATACTGATATGGGCAGAAAGTCCTAGGACGACACAATACTCAATGTCAAGTTGCACTAGTATTTGCTCTCGCAAAGTGGTGAGGTACTTAATTTAGCAAGCAAGATACATTGAATACAGACTATCAGAGCTTCAAATGATAACAAGGTGTAGTGGAGTTTCGATCGAATATATTCATTCATGCTATCATTACCACTGGATGGATCTAATACCGAACGAATCCCTTCCGCTTTCTGACGTCTGGAATCGGAAGATGAAAAAATGATGCAGATTGAGACCACAAAATGTGTAAACGAGTGCTTTACTTTTGCTGAGAGCAGATTATTACAACCTAATAGTTTTATGCACCTCCAGGTTACAGACATACTCGAACAAGCTTTTCAGAGTCTCCACGCCATTTGCTAACGATGGTGGAAGCCGAGATGTTGAAGAATGTCGTGTGACATTCGGTTGCTACCGCTTTCGCCAGAAGAGTTTTCCCAGTACCTGGTGGGAGGAAGAAAGATCAATTCAACATAAAGGCTTTCACAAGCAAAACCAGGATGTTCAGCAAGTAATTTTTTTCGTCGAAACGAACACGGGGAATTTCACACAACCAAAAGAAAGTGTGGTCACTTCAGCTTCGTGTTAGCACAAAATAATTTTTCAAAAAATCCGTCTGATCAGAAGTTGAGTTTCTCGCCAAATTTAACTCACTTCGCAAATGGAAGTGAGTATTTGGCAAATTTCATACAAACTGGGTTTATGTAAAACTCGCGAAATTCGTTTACCTGATGAATGCGATGTGGAAGGACAAACTCGGCCGTGGGTTGTCTAACAGTTATTGCTAACCCTATCAGAACTTTTCCACCAAAAATATACTGCGATATCTTGAATGTCACACTAAATGACAAATGGAGTGGCCTTTGTGTTGCATATTTGTTGAGGAATATCATAAACACGAGAATTTCAGCCCACTGACAGTACGGGATTTATGCACCAATTTATCAGCTCCTGCCTCCAATGCGCAGCTACCTCCCCCTCCCCCAAATCATCGGTGAACAAAACTGCCGCGGCTACAACCACTGTATGACGAGTACGCGGTAATTACAGCTGACAACGATGATGATGATAATAATAATAATAATGAATTTCAGGTGGGCTTCAGCCAAGTTTTCGGTTATAAGAACAAATGTTTGTAAATGCGCGAAACTCACGAAATGTGTTATGTGGTTCAAAGCTTTAAGTTACTTCAGATTTCTTAGAGTGATCGTGCGATTTTGGCATCTTAAGGTGATCTTTGATTTTAATGGCTCAAGTAAAAAGCATTGTAGGATGTCATGAAGTGAACATCTGCTAGTGTCCCTAGGAAGGCAGTCATTACTGCTCTTTAGAACGCACCCATTTCTGAAGAGCCAGAATGGTCATATGCCTCTTGGTGGCTTTGAACACGTGGAACAGAACCCCAGCTGAGTGAACGAATATGTAATTTAAGCATTGACAAACGTACATATGTTAAACAATTTCAAGCGGTTAAAGGTCATGTAGTGAGGGCCATAGTGCAGCCTATTCGATAAAACTTCGAGGTTAAAGTAAGTGACTGTTCTGCAATGTTGAATAAAATTTCCATAGGATTTTGGGGAGTGTGATAGAACATGGTCGCATGATGCTGCCTCAAAAATTCATTTGCTTGAAAACTTTTGTAGATTTAATTGTAGGGTATGAAAGTAACATTTATAGATAGTTAATCGATACAGAGAATGTTTCCTACTGATAGCTTTTCCCTCATGCTTGCATTTGGGAAAAGGAGTCTGTCCCAGACAACTGGGGAGAATCGGTGGTAGTGCCCATTTTCAAAAAAGGGGCGCGTAGTGAGTGTGGTAACCACAGGGGATCAGCTTGACCCCGGTTGTAACAAGACTGTTGGCGTCAATTGTGCTTCGTCGCCTTACGGTGGCTCGTGAGATGCTGACTCGAGAGCAGCAAGCGGGATTCCGGCCTGGTAGGGGTTGTGTTGACCAAATCTTCACACTGCGTCAGGTGCTAGAACAACGCCATACGTATAAGCGACCCACGATTCTAGTATTCCTGGATTTCCGAGGCGCATTCGACTCGGTTGATCGGTCTGTTCTTCTTGAGACGCTTGCCCACCAAGGAATGC